CTGAAGTACTGTGTATACCACCCCTGTACATGTCACTGAAGTACTGTGTATACCACCCTTATACATGCCATTGAAGTACTGTGTAAACCACCCTTATACATGCCATTGAAGTACTGTGTAAACCACCCTTATACATGCCATTGAAGTACTGTGTAAACCACCCCTGTACATGCCACTGAAGTACTGTGTACAACCCTTATACATGCTATACATGTCACTGAAGTACTGTGTATACCACCCCTGTACATGTCACTGAAGTACTGTGTATACCCTATTGTACATGTCACTGAAGTACTGTGTATACCACCCTTATACATGACATTGAAGTACTGTGTAAACCACCCTTATACATGCCACTGAAGTACTGTGTATACCACCCTAATACATGCCACTAAAGTACTGTGTATACCACCCCTATACATGCCACTGAAGTACTGTGTATACCACCAATGTACATGCAAAAACATGTTACCATTATTGTGTGTATATAAGTGCATAAAAAACCTCGGACACCCTACCCCACCCCACTGTAATAATTATTGGTCACTTAACATTCAAGAAAACATCTTTTCCAGTTAAAAGTTCATTCATAACTGTCGTGATTTGATTAAATTTATAAAGAGCTTGCTCATACGAGGCTGTGACCTCAAATGTAGATATACCAAATTCAAGTTCAAAAGTTGCATTTTGATTGATAGTTGATGTCAAGTACATGTGCTGATATGTTAGTGAGAGATGGAAAAGCTATGGTGATGAAAAGGTCCAGGGTATATATACTCACCAACAAAATAAACGCGAATACCAGACATGTTGGTATGATGTGTGAATCGACGCTCATGAACGCATCACACATGACGTCATAGATCCATGAATCAAGATGCACCATTTGTTTCGTGCAGGATTAGCGTGTAAAGTGTGGAAATCATGTGCAGCATATCGTGATAAGAATAAAGGCACTGTGGTAACACTTGACTGTTTGTTATGTTTTTAGGTTTGTCAGTAACTCGTACACATTGGAAACATCTCTTAACGTACATACATTCTCTCTGTTTCTAGGGTTCGTGTTTGCTTTCGGCGGTGAGTACATATCATAACATCCTGGATTATCCAGTGTATCACACCTCCGTTGTGTTGGGATAAACGCCCTTGACTCATTCACCACTATAGGATCAGGGAATTTATCATAATAGCATGGTGAAAAATACACTGACTAATCAAGGACGGTTAAGGCTACACAAACCTACAGTGGTTCTAGACCAGAGGCTGAAAATGTGAAAACTTCACAACTCCCCAAAACAAATAACAACACTAAGCAACCATATTTTTCATAATTTATTTATCATTTCAACAGAAATGTAAATTTCCAAAGAGTGAGAAGCCTCACTCCAGTCTGCAGTTGACACTACTCGAGAAGCAGGGCGTCATGCCAGGCATGACTTGCCCTGATTGAAAGAGCCGAGTGACGGAGGAAACACAGAAAGACTGAGATAGAGACAGAGACAGTAGATGCTGAGGAGGAATGAAGACCTGGAGGTGGTGTCAGGATGATTGACAGGAGGAGGAAGACAGGTTTCACTCAGGCATTACTAGGGCTGATACTGTCAGGTAGTCATCAAAATTATTTTAGCAAATGTGAACAAGTTAATTTGTATTTTTCTCTCTAGTGAGTGAGCGAGTTTTGTTTTACGCCGCTTTTAGCAATGTTCCAGCAATATCACGGCGGGGGACACCAGAAATGGGCTTCACACATTGTTTCTCTCTAGTAGTCACTCCTGGATATAATGAAGTCAGTTATTTACTGAGTGAGTGAGTTGGTTAAATGCCTTTTAAATGCCGCTTTTAACAGTATTTTCCAGTTATTTCACGGCATGTCAGCCTGAATGGATGCAGTTCTCAGACGTTTACCACTTTGATGAAACCCAAACCAGTGGTATTTTATGATGCTGCTCAGAACCTCAGTCTACACAGCAACCTTAGTGCTATGACTATCGTAACTCCCATACTAACTTAGACTTTACGACGGCCGTAGTGCTAAGAGTGCACACTGATCCATTGACGAGGTATCTTCCCGAGGCAAGGGAGTTAACTGACACTTAAGTCCAGTTTCCACCCTTGTCGAACTTGGCTGGAATTACGTGGTTTAATCATAGCTCAACCATTGGCTATTACGAGTAATTACGATTCAACCTCTCATATGACATGCTTTGCTTCAAACAAAATGGCGGCAGTCAGGTCGATCTGATTGATAATCAAGATCTTTCTTATATAATAAAACGGGTCTTAATTCGCGAAGTGCATCAAATCACTTGAGCACCCTGATTAATATCATGAAAATATTTGGAAAATATCTGTCCACACCCAGTTGACTGTACTCATGAACCAGATGTCAATGTCATTACATGATTTTGATTGGACTATGTATGCATAGACTCGTTAGTCAAGCCACAATGTAACTCCATAATTCCAGCCTTGTTTGGCAAAGGATGAAACTGGACTTTTATAGTTAGTTTACTCCCTTGACTCAGGAAGATGTAATAATGTAGCACTTAGAGCATACTTAAGGATGTGGATCTGGGGCATTATAAATATGCATATTAAGATCACTTTGTGGATTTGGACCCAGGCAAACTTTACATATAACAAACAATTTTGTAAGCCCATACAAATTCATTATATCCAGGAACTAACCACAGCAATCAATAATGTGAGAGGGGAGAGTATATGAATTTAAGAACCTTATTCTCGTAACTAAATATACTACTCAAAAGAAGTTAACACCAATTTTCTTTTCATATGACTATAGTTAATATGTTGTCATGACAGATTAACTTTAGTCATATGAGAAAATTGTGTGTTCTCTAACATTTTTGGCAGAGTATAGATCTAATTAGTGTGGATAAGATTATTCAGTAACAACCTTACACTTAAATTTCTCAAACTGACCCCACAATGTATGAGCCCTTCAGCCCTGTCCTGAGCAAACTGAAAGCACTTGACGCCTCAACCCAGGATTTGAAACCCTTCACAATACACAGTTATAACCTAGATTCATTACTGACAAGATATTTCTGGATGCTGACAGTTCTCATGACAAAATATCAGAGGAAAAAAAGAATTAAAAAGAATTAAAAAACATTCTGCAAATTTATCCTGCACATAATTTTTATCTCTGATCAGCTGAAAACAGCATTTTCAGAATCAAATAATATTTAAAACTTTAGCAGGCATCCCCACCACTTACGTACATGCTGACCCTTAACAATTAAGATAAACCTATTGTATTTTGAAATTTGAGGTACTCTCACTGTCGATTTAAAACCTGTTATTTTTATTGATTCAAAGCTGAGCATTTTAGCATAGTTATGTTTTGGGCCACGATTTTTATGGATCGATATGTAGTATACCAATGTATTCATATACACATTTTTGTGTAAAAAGACTAAGTTAGAGGCCCAAAACAGACACTTGTTCGATTGGGTACCTCATTTTAAACAATCAGAAGCAAGCATTCTTCAATGTCATGGTAGAACGTATTTGCATAAATTTCATTGAACGTTACCCTTATTCCATAGTAGTTCAGCATCTTGCTTAACATCTCACTGAACCCCTCTAACCATCCTGTCAAAGAGTGTGATGATGTAAATACCCTGAGTGTTTACTTCAACAACTTTGGAAATGAGACAAACAAACCCTACAAATGCATTCAAGTAAACAAAAAACAATAACTTACTATACATTCTTTATAACCTCTCAGGCCAGGAATAATCTTTTCCATAAAAATAGAACTCATCTAAAGAAGGAATAACAGTCTTATAATCCTTACAGAAACGTTAGTTATATACAGTAAGTAGCGTATGTTTGAGTAAGTGAGTTTGACTTCCCATTGTTTTTAACAGTATTCCAGCTTAATGTGGAAGGAAAGCCTTAAGTGATGCGTATGTTTGAGGCATTGGGTGCAAATCCTGGGCATAGGGCTATGTACAGAACAGAATACTTAGCAGTAGACAGAAAGTCATATGATAATTTGTTCATGAACAATAGTATTATAAGACACTGAATGTAATTTTGTACTTTCCAATATCTGATAAGGATGCCCTTCAATTGGCACATGATTGTTGTTTCAACACATGCACATAGCAGAATACAAACCAGGGGTTGAAGTTCTTGTTTTGTACAATATTTTCCATAGAATAGATCGTTAAACATTAATAGCATCTTCGTCATAACTTATAACCTAAGTGATGTACATTTGAGAAAGATGAATAATGTTTCTCTTCATAAGATACATGGAATGTCCTTAAAACTTGTAAAACGAGACCTCTTTTAAAGCTGTGTATTACAATTGGCTTTGTGAACTCAAATCACAAATTAAAATAATAAGGTCATTAGCATAAAATTGTCGAAAACATTCAGTAAAATGTATATACATTTGTTCATGTATTTCTGTGGGATGTAGAACTCTTGAATCCTTAACGTCCAGGTCTCAATGAGGTCTTTAGGCTGGGAGGAGTTCCCTCCCTTGAGACATTGGGTAGAACTGACTACAATAGGTGTTCCCTGTCCTGGAGGAAGGGAGGAAGGCAGACAGGCAGGCGTGCACTTGTTCACAGCTTTCTGTGACGGCAGAACATGTCATATAAGCCTGTCCAACAACTAGTTGCTTTCTGTGAAAGCTTGAGAAGTGTCTTTCTGGAGGCTTGTTGCATAAATACTAACCACCTACAACACAGACCATCCCACCTGCCCTGAGTCGAGCAGGCAGGCTGGCTGGCCCAATCAGGCTTCAACATCAACAATTACAACACTTGTAATAAATTAAGGCAAAAATTTCACACTGAAAAATTGTCTGTCCCCTCCCTGTTAGCTGGAACCCTGTGGGTGCTGTCAGGATTGACCCTGGAGCCCCACTCTTACATAAGTAACCCTCCCGTACCCTTACCCCTCCCAACCCTTACCCTCCCGACCCTTACCCCATCCCACCCATCCCCACCCATCCCCACCCCACCCATTCAGTATGTGGAAAGTCACATATGTACATAAGGGAGAAGTATTTACATAATGTACACGTACAACCATAAATAATTTGGCAGAGCACAGATGGACTGTTGATCAGAAAGAAGACAGTCAGTTGTGGTGACCGTTGTCGTCATCGTAATCGCTTCCGAGTTGCTTCCACTTTGTCCATCACATGTCACTCTCCCGAGCAGATATCACATACTATCATACTCCACACTCTCTGGTCGATGCCAACATCCATCAACAAATCCTCTTCCTTTCTTCGTCGTAGCAGACACCAGCAATATCCCTTCAGTTAGCACTTGAAAAGCATTTTGAACACATTATTCAAACTCAGGAGCCAATCACAAAGCAACATCATAAATATCGGCCAACAACAGTTCAATCGTGACGATTGACAACATATTTCATCTCACAGATTCATAGGTCTGCAATTGAATATAAATCTGAACCAGCCCCTAAGTCGGACTTAGCGCGACCTGGGTCGGCCTCTTTCTGATGGGACAGCAAGCACCTGGAATGAGGCTACTGCAGTAATGAGAAAGACATGGTAGATACAGTCCACCACCGTGCATGTGCGAGCGAGCAGGCCAGCAAGTGGGCGGCGGTCAGGCGGGCAGGGAGCCCGTCGACAGCGTACATGTGACTGTCGAGGTCTTGTCCTACTGCCACCAGGGGGCGCTGGAAGGAGGAGATCATCTGACTGTACATGCCGCTGTCGCAGGTTATCAGGTCTGTTCGGGTGGCCACAAGGTGACTCAGGCCACCTACATCGCCACCGTCCACCACAGCACTCAGTAGTTGGGAAAAAATGAGAAATGTCCAAATTGACTATTAATAGGAGTCTTTGGTGATGCACACATATATTTAAATTCCATGTCAAAAGAGTCTGTTCTGTGGATGGCTGGCTCCGATTTACTTCTCTTGATCTTTGGTATAGACAAATATAAGTTCTCCAAAATGGCTAACACCTGCAACAGAAAAAATCATGATCACAGTTGTAAAATATAAAAGTTCCTAAAAAATGCTTTTTCTCTTAATAAAATGACGTATTTCTTTCAAGTCTGATGATCATAACAAATTGTGCCCATTATCAACATACCCTTAAAATACTATAATAACCAAATATATTTTTCCATACATGGTACACTTTTTCTTGCAAACAAACTGACAAACAGTATCTGGAATATATACAGAAACTAGTCCAAGACTTATGAAAATTTGTGATCATAGTGCAACAACAGTCTAAGCTCTATGTTTTGTATGTTTGTTTGTTATTTAACGCCACATTCAGCAATATTCCAGCTGTATGACGGCAGTCTGTAAATAATCGAGCAAACCAGATAATCAAGTGATTGACATCATGCACATCAGTCTATGCATTTGGGATACGATGACATGCAGCAATCAATGCGATTGGGACATGATGACATGCATCAACAATGTCAGCGAGTCTAACGACCTGATTCTGTTATTCGCCTGTTAAGACAGCATGGGATGCTAAACCCTGGATCATTGCGATGTCCAAATGCAAGTAATGTCATACACACAACTTGAAAGGAAAGTGGTTTAGTTTGATTTAACCTATGGTGTTCATCTTGAGTATTGATTATGGGGAGTCTTACTTGAGGGAACAGGGGCCTTGTTTCCCTGTCATAACAAACACAATCAAGAACCAGACGCTTGTAGGTCTTGGGCGTATCTGTCCTTGCTCTTGTCATGTCTGGCCGTAGGTAGCCTTTTCCAACCATGAACAATATCTAGGGAAAAACAGGCTTACAATCACTTGTGTCAACATAGCATTCGGAATAAATAGCACATCAGCCGGATATACTGAACAAAACAAGTAAAGGATCATGAATATTTTGGGGGATATATTTTTATTGTGACTGAACACACAATTTCATAAAAATATCCCCAAAAATATTCATCATGGCTAACCTTTTTTTGTTCAGTATATATACTAGTCAACTTTTGATAGGGATAATCAGATATGTCGGTCTATTTAAATAAACACCTGGCACATTATGATAATCGGTTTTATGTATCATGGAAAGATAAACATATCCCCATCAAAAGTGGAATAGACTATGATGAAAGCAATTTAATGCCAAACGTGTAACCTTCAATTCTGGTTGAAAGAAAAAGTCCTATTAAGACATACAACTCTTTTTTTTGATAGAGATGATCAGATACGTCAGATATATTTAAACATACACAAGAGACAACAAAGGACAACAACTGATTGATGTCTATCTGCTACCTTCCCATCACTTGACTTTAACACAGAGTAAAGGTCAGGTGAGTTCAAGTCAAGTCAGTCAGTCAGTGAGTATAGCTTTACTCTGCTTTTAGCAATATTCCAGTAATATCACAGCTGGAGACATCAGAAACGGGTTTCACACATTGTATCCATGTGGGAGATTGAACCCATGCCTTCAACATAATGAGCAAACGCTTTAACCACTAGGCTACCACACAACCCAAGGTCTGGTCAACTTGGTTCTTGTCATTAAAAAACACCTTTAACTAGTAACCTAAGTTTAATGATGTACATCGAGATCTCAGTTAATGATAACCCCGAATAAGCAGATGTCTCACTGACAACAACATTGACTAGAAGGGTCTACCAGACCATGGAACACACGCACTATTTAAATACATGTATTCAGACCAATCTGGAACACACTAACATCAATCAATGGATCAATCTGTTAACCTACTACAAGTAATCAAATCATGTGCAAAGCAATCAAAACAGTTCTTGATCCATGCTGAAATCATTGTTTATTGTTAATCGCAATAAATACCTTCTTCCACAAAACATGAAACTATTCCTCGAAAAATCATAGTAGGGAGAAAAATCCTAAAAAGCTTCTTATTTTTTTAAATTATTTTGTATTTTTATATCTCAAAACATTATCATAATAAAACATTTTTTTTTAAAATAACAATACAAAATCATACATAAGTCAGCATGAAAATATCGGATCTTCCTTGCCTGTAGGCGGCAAGTTCACAGTTAACAAATCTTTGTTGTATAGCTATCATTCAAAGTCCTGTGACTTCCATCTTCCATGGAATAAACAGTTAGCTCACCTGATCCTTGTTGTTGATGTTTGCGTAAGGCAACTCCTGTGTCATGAGCTCAAAGATGACAATACCGAAGGCGTAAACATCGGACTGGAAGGTGTAGGGGTTGGATTCCCTCATCTGTATTACCTCAGGAGCCTGAACACAGCAAGGGAGACAACTCAAGATTGGATCAAAGATCACATATGAGGGCATAGGATAATACTGACCAACATGACATCAGTTCTTGATAATAAAGACCAACATAATTGGTTGGTTGGTGTGTTGTATAACGCCGCACCCAGCAATATTCCAGCTATATGACGGTGGTCTGTAAATAATCAAGTATGGGCCAGACAATCCAGTGATTAATATCATGAGCATCGATCCACGCAATTTGGATCAATGACATGCATAAACCAAGGACCAACATGAAATATCAGTCCTTCATAACACTGACCAACACGGCATCAGTTCTGTATAGTATCAGCAAACATCATCATACTAGCCATCACGTTTTACAACCCATATCATGCAGAGAAGACCATGGTTGACAGTGAGTGAGTGAGTGAGTGAGTGAGTTGGGTTTAACGCCGCTTTTAACAGTATTCCAGTTATATCACAGCGTGTCAGCTTAATGTGGGAGGAAAGCCCGAAGTGATGCAGGTCTCAGACGTTTTTCCACTTCAGTGAAACCCACGAGCACGGGTATGGTGCTGACAAACCTAGAAACATAATCGGGGCGAACCGGGATTTGTACCCACAATCATAGGTTTCTGGCGTGCCCAAGGGACGCAACTCTGCACATCGAATTGCGGCGCCTTAGACGACTGGGCCACCCGTGCCCCCCATGGTTGACAGATAATTCGAAAGAAACACTGTGTGGTGTTAAACAATAAGACTCACAGGAACAACCCAATGACACTCTAATCTGGGGTAGATTTTACTGCTATCTAGTGCTACTATGTTGTAGACTCACCATCCAGAGGATTGAGCCAGATGGTTGCTGGAACTGATGTGAACCACTCCATCGTGTTTTCACGGTGGCCAGTCCGAAGTCTCCAATCTTTACTGTCATGTTCTCTGTAAGCACTTCTGTCAAGAATATGTCTGAGGGTTGTTAAGGATTTTTTTTCTCTCAAAAAAGAAAGTTTCACCTACAACACTGCACAAGAGAAAAGATATCAGGAATTGCAAGCTATTTTACTCTGCATGTCAATATCTTTCTTATTCATGATAATATTTTGTTTATTGTCTTCCGGCAGTCAGCAATGTTGCAGCCATATCACAACATAATAATGATGATAATAAAACTGTAGCTCACCGTGGACATAAACATTCAAAGTATTTCTAGAATACTGACAGTGATACTATAAGCTCTTGGCTCAAATAGGGGGAGGAACAAAAACTGCTGTATATGACCTTAGGTAAGTTGAATTTTGAGGACCAGAAAAAAAGATTCTGTAGAAAGGGGTCGGCTTATGTTGAGGTTACACTTTCATCAAACAATTTTACTGATAACAAAAAAACGTCTTCATATCGCTTCAGGTGAACTAACAACACTTTAACAAACTTTGTCAATGAAAATGTGAAATTCGCGATTAAACATAACTAGACATGATGATTTACTATTTCAAGTTAAAGTTAAAACATACCCAATAACATAAAGGAAAAGAATTTTGATTCAATGACAGGAACAAATAGTATCTTAAACTACTATTTTACTACGAATAATGTTTTGATTTCATGTTATTTTAATTGCAGATTTTACTATAAATCTTCAAGATAATGATAACGATAACTAGGGTTATGCAGTAGCACTTTGGTGTAGTGTCAATACTTTTTACACATGGAACAATTTGACAAGTCACAGTTGAGGTTTCGCGCGATCTCGCTATTTTCCATCGCAAACAATATGCTGACATATGATAGTCAAACTACAACAAATACGACTTTTAACAAGCCAAAGTATGGCAGGTATGAATTATGTATCTATTAACTGTCAACTAAGGTTTATTTCAAGGTTTCAATGACGGTAATATGATGGTGGTTGCTGTGAGTTGGTGCTGTCACAGTATGGGGTAAAGTGTACCTTATGAAATGGGGTAAATAAACAGAAGGTGTAGTATTGGAGAGACACACGATTTCACTGAAATTAAGGTAAACATTATTGAATGAAAGTTTGAATAAAATTAATAAAATAAATTACAAACGTAAGTCCAGACATACAATGAACATTTTTTATTACCGATGGTGTAACGACAGGATTAACTTGCGTAATTCAATATGGATTTGTTGACATTCTATTTCTAATGACAGATCAAGACGAGAAGACGTAGTTTTAGGTTGGTGGTAGGTTATGTACCGCACATGATATGTTGATACAGAGTCCAAGGACCAAATTAATACCTCGGCTTACCTTCAGTCATATATTGTTGTGATTTGTGAATGAAACTGTACAGGCTTTTCACAGATGTGAGATAATCCCATTCCTAGATTAACCCATCCTTCACACTGCTACTCGCATCACTTGTAGCTTTGGGACGAGTCTAATTTTACACCATTTACACCAGGGACAACAGAAACAGGCATCACATTGTTCTAATGAGGGGAATCAAACCCAGACTTGTGGCATGAAGAGTGAATGCTTTAACACCTAGGCTACTAACAGCCCCTCTAAGATTTGGGCAAATGTAAGATTAATATTTTGAATGAAAACTGTATTTTGCTCCTAGCTAGACAACTGTTAGGCATTATATCTGACTAGAAAGGATACTGTTTGTTTTCAGATCTCTGTGGATGATGTGTTTGGCATGAAGATAACTGAAAAGTAGATAAAACATCATAAGACACACATAACAGGCTAGCCTCATTAATCCGAGAAGTTGTCAATCATCAAAATATATTACACCTTTATCTGACATAACTTGACTGCTTTAAGGTCAAATCTGGAATCAAGGGACACAACTCTTCAGAGAATTGCTTGAAAGATATTATGTATATGGTTCGGAATATAAATGAAAAGAGTTATGTGTTAAATAGACCATTACTTGTCAAAGATAGCCCATGATTCTACTTCATTAACTTATGCTTGACATATAATTGTGTTACTCAATATTATCATCAACTTACTCCATGCCCTGTGCTGTTTGTTTTGCAATCATGATGAGCTGGTCCATCCTGAACTTCGTCTCCTTCACGTGTAAATGCTTGTACAGACTGTGGCCATCACACCACTGAGTCACGATGGCCAGGTGGGGCTTCGACAGACACCCCATGAACAGCAACACATTATAATGACGGGTTTTCCTGCAATACAACATTCAAACATGTACCATTAAGATTTCACAACTGTTACAGAAAATTATAATCATACAACTAAATCAAAATAGTGCATGCTCAACCCATATATTGCAGTTTGTGATCAAAACTTTTTGAGGCATATTGCGTGTAATTCTTTGGAAAACGTTAGATTTTAATTGCTATATGACATGGATTATTATCAACTACAAAAAATGGACAAACCATGGCCCCGAAGCATGTTTCTCAGGCACATTTTTCTCAAATTGAGAAGGGTAGTTTTTTAATGGTTTTATTGAAAGACAAAAAATGGGATGAGAGGAACGGTTTTTTCCCCAGGTTGAATACCAACAAACACAAGTGGGTACACATTGAACTTTGATCTTTAAAAAAATGTGGAAAACATTCATTTCATGGATAGTGTCTGCTTCATAAGAACTGGATCTTAAGCTTTTTTACTGACAATAAAAATGACTGTAGCATAATATTTCAAGAAGAAAAGCATATGACTGCATGGGTATGGTGTTGACAAACTAAGGATTGCTATCAGGACAAATATCAGGATCCTGAGATAACTAAGGGACGTAGCTCTGCACAGCCAACTTACAGAAGTACAGGTAGACCCTCATGTTGCAGCAGCAGCAGCAGCTGCCCGGCAAACTAAGAGAGACACATACAGCCTACCTCAGCACTCCTACTTCATTCTTGAAAGCCAGCAACTGGGCTGGTGTGGGATCCGTAACGTTCAGCTTCTTCACAGCTACAGGACCATGCCAATGACCTTTGTACACAGTTCCAAATGACCCCGATCCAATTCGTTGATCATAAACAATTTCATCATTAGGAATCTCCCAATCCTCATTGGAATCTCTTCTTGGTCTCTGCAAGGAACACAAGGAGGGTTCAAAATACATTCACCTACATAATAATAATATTAGTAGGGCCATGTTTAAAATGTGCCCGGGCTGTCCCTGAAATAACTTAAGAATTGAATACTGATTTTGAATAACAGTGAAAACTACACCATAAAGTTTTTTTGTTTGTTAGACAACTGGGCCACCCATGTCCCTGGAATTGCTTGAAGACATTAAACAATGAAAAGAAATAAAGAATCAAAATCTGAAAGGACAATTTCAGTGTTCAAAATTAAGTATGGCCCCAATGTAAAAAGTTTAAGATTTAGGGTCCCTAGATTAAAAAACAACAGTAGCAAACCTAAAGGACCCCTTTTTGTCTGTTTGTTTGTATATATTTCAGCTATATGATGGCGGTCTGTAAATAATTGAGTCTGGACCAGACAATACAGTGATTCACATCATGATCATCGATCCATTCAAATGAGATGCGATGACATGTATCAACCAGGTCAGTGAGCCTGACCACCCGATCTCATTAGTCGCCTCTTACAACAAGCATAGTCGCCTTTTACGGCCAGCATGGGTTGCTGAAGACCTATTCTACCCCGGATCTTCACGGGTCTAAAGGACCCCTTAATTTTTTAACACTGCATTTCAATCATACCCGACTCTTTCCTGGGTCTGTCTCCACTGACTTAGCTCTTGGGCGCACATGTTTGGATGTGCTGGTTGGGGAGGACTGAGCACTCTTCGTGGGACTATTGCTAGGACTCTGGGAGTGACCTCCTGGCAGAGTCAAAGTGTTTAAATGCTGACCTGCAAAGAACATCACCACAAATTACAGACACCCTAATCACAAAAGACGGAGTCAAGACAATCAGCTGAAACTAACCACAAGAATAGGATTGTGTGTTCCACTTTAGATGACTATTCAAGCAAAGGTCACAGGAACCATTACAAATGAAGCAATGAAACAACCGAAGATGGCAGGACATTAGAATAATGCAATAAAAGAAATCACACAGTAATTTTATCCACCAAAAATTGAAAATACCAACGGTAAGAAAACAGTGGCAACTGAACATGATAGTGTCTTAAAAGCTGTGAGTAACTGCATCTCTGTGTTGCTCCCTATAAACAATTTTGTACACAGAGCTATGGGCTGTCCCATTGGGTTTACCTAATAGATTACCAAATCACCCTTTATATACTTCAGCAAAGGGCATGTGTGGTTATCTAACAAAAAATGCAACATGATTCACTGGGATGTGTCTACTTCCTGGGTAACCGACCCCCTATTACCTGACCCTACCCGGGTACCCACCATATCCTCGAAGGGGGTTAAAGAAGCGTAAAATTATTGTCCCCCTGAGAGGGTATGTAAGACCACGTATTTCAAAGTGTATTTATTTCTTCCATGTTTTTAATCGTAGCATATGTGTTATTTTAATGTTTGGCTAAATTTGCCAGCCATCGCCAACAACTGAAGGGATGATGTAAATCCGACTGGGGTCCATGCAGGTAGCAAAAGTACTGTAATTCCCCATGGTCCCCAGTGCGGTGATCAACCTTCAGTTGGTGGCGATCTATACCCCGTTTTTTATGTGTTGTTGAATGATTAGTTAGTTATCTATTTTTACATGTTTTCAAACTAGTTTTACGAAAATCTGTGATATTCTAGTTATTATACTGCAGAATTCAGCAGAATGTTATACAGTTTAATATATATTGTTAATGTCAAATTTTGTTTTGTCACAATATGGCTGAAATATTGCCGATGTGATGTTAAACTTTAACTCACTCACTCACTCAAGAGTTGGGAACAAAATGTCTGATTGGGACTTGCTTTACCGCAGCCCTGGCAAAAACTATTTAGATACACGTAACAAACGATAAGATCATGCGTACACTGAAGATGATTGAAGCTTTATCTTTACTCAAACATACACAAGGAAAAAGGAATGTGTGCATCATCAGAAAGAAATGCAAACATTAGCGAATTGTAGTGTAACCACTGAGCTATAGTAACTAGATAGAAAGTTTCATGATCGAAAATATAGTACTCACATTTGAAGGCAAGTCTTTTACGAGGCGAATTGTTTTCGAGGGGTTTTTTTGGATTACGATTCATAAATATTATGGCATGGTTGTTAGCGTGGTATGTTCCAATTAGGGGATCTATAGGAAAACACTACGGAACAGCCTGTAGCTCTGTTCAGTGACAAGTCAACATGGTCAATATCCAAATCGTTTACAAGGAGAGCAGTAGAGAGATAGGGTTACCGCAGTTGGTGTCTTACAAATACAAACGTCTTTACTGGTCAACAAATTGTGGCAAGTTTGACAACGGTGTAAATGAATTGGGTGAAACACAACACTGGTCAGAGAGTGGTGGACAGCAGGTGCCGGACAACAAGCAATGAGACGTGGTATGCAGAGGGGAGGGGGAATCACAACATCCGACCTAAGTCACTAGTCATCAGACCACACAAGCAGCTCCTCAACCTGGCACATACTCCACTGCTTAGACTCAAGCATAAAAGTTTATACCCAATCATTTTATAAGCATTGAACCCTGTTATATTTTTTCAATATTTTGCTGGTTTCCATAACAGGATTGAAAACATTTTTTCACCCATTTGGAATAGGTTTTACAACTATGCCTAATAGCGTGTGTGAGTGAGTATGGCTTTATGCCGCTTTTAGCAATATTCCAGCAATATCACGGTGGGGGACACCAGAAATGGGCTTCACACATTGTACCCATGTCAGGAATCAAACCCGGGTCCTCAGTGTGACCAGTGAACGCTTTATCCCCAAGGCTACCCGACCGCCCCCTAAGCCTAATAGAACTTATGAGATCCGTTTGTGAAAATTGGATGCGTTATCTCAAGCTCTTCTGAAGAGTTTATGCCATTCTTAGAGCAGAACCAAATGCTAATTGCCCTTGATTAAAGTGCACAAGGAACTACATGTTTTCACACTAAATACAATGTTTAACATTATTCACTTAATACAAAAGGAAGATTCTTCTCACGCATCGCCTAGTTGAGGAACTGCTTAGAAAATAAAACCTGCATCTAAAAGTATATCAACACCTAAGATAAACACAAGATCATGTATGTATTCAGAAAATAAAGAAATATCATGCCACTTAACATATACATAGATGTAAATGTTTAATCTCAACATTCAAAGCAACAACATTTTTCATCTTATTTCACAACTTCATTAATTGAAAGTTCTATATATCTACAGTATGTTATAGATCACAGATTCACACACTGGGAGGGACTATGTCTATATAACATCTAAACTGTGTTTTCTGGAACTGTCACTGTCACTGTCAAACCAAGTCAGTATATTAGTTGAAACGGCAGTGCATAAAAACACATCCCAAAAAGGGAGATAACTCATGCCTACTCTCACCAACTACCCCTTTCTGCCCGGGGCCAAAGAAGTAATGTTTATGTGATGGAGCACTGCTATCGCTAGCATGGCGTTTATCTTTATACTGGGTATATCGGATTGGTACAGCATGGCCTGTGCTGCTTTGAGTATCTGGAAATTCAATTTGGTTTACTACAAAAATGGGTTCTTTGGATTTTGGTTGACTACAAAATATCCAACATCACTAGGCATACAACTGTAGAAGGTACTGTTACTTAACTGTAAATGGCTAAAATCACAGATATATAACTCAAAAGAAGTTAAGGACTACTTGATTCTTTGAATATTATTATAGTTAATCCATCCTAAACTTCTTTTGAGTAGTATATAATCAAGTCAATCGTTTAACAAAGTGTGTGAATGAGAGATTTGATTTAAATGCCACTTGGAACAGTATTCCAGTTATATCATGGCATGGCAGTCCTTATGTGGGAAGAAAGTGGAAAGGACACAGGTAACTTGTAGAGGTTTATTTCTTTGGTGAAGCCAACAGACCAAGGATCGTAATCAGGGTGAATCTGAGACTCAAACCCACAATCACTGAATCCTGGCACAAATGCACAGCACAGTACCTTCGGTGACCACTTACGCACCATGTCTGCTCATGCTCTCTGAAAAATGTTTCTCTCAACCTGTAGCAAGTTTGTGATGGAATACTGCAAGGGTGGGTCACCAATCTTTATGAGTGAGTGAGTTGGGTTTAATGCCGCTTTGAACAGTATTCCAGTTATATCACGGTATGTCATCATGATGTGTTAGGGCAGCCAGAAGTGTTGCAGGTCTTAGACATTTACCACTTTAGAGAAACCCACGAGCATGGGTATGGTGCCGACAAACCAAGAAAAATAATCGGTTTCTGACATGGTCACAGGTTACTGGCGTGCCCATGGGACGCAAGTCTGCGGTGCCTTAGACAACTGGGCCACCCATGCCCCCACCAACATGACTTCAACAAAAGGCTTAGCCATGATGTATGGCAGCAAATGTTAAACTGGGAGAACACTGTTAACGTTACCTTGATGCGATCTGGATCCTAGTGCTCCCAGTCTTCTACTGAAATCCTGTAAATAATGATCAGGGATTAGTACCGCCAAACCATGGATAAGGTTGTCAACTGGGATGTTTTTGTGATCACTGCGGTCAACTCTGTCATCTATCGGGATCCTTTTACGACATGTTAAGTCAATCTACCACCACTTATGAAGCTGTGCTATCAAGAACCATAGGCTTAAAGTCTTATTGTCAAAGATACAATGTCACATGTACAACAAGATGAGTATTGCTAATGGCAAGGTGAATAGGCATAGTGCCAAAATGTTCTTTAAACTTTGACATCACTGAGCCAAAACCTGGTCCCTGACGTCATAGAACGATATAGACAATTCTCGACCATGAGGCTATTTGGCAGTCATCTACAGTGATACAATCTTAATGTGGCAAACATACCTTTATCGTTATCTTTATAATAAAAATAAACTGTTACAATCAGGAAAAAAATTGTTAGGTTGCAGATTTAAATTCAGTAACCATCAAGAGTTTGTTTCCAAAGTACTGTAGCCGATGCATAAAAAGATTAACTGGTCGACAAACGTCTTTTCTCTTTCACTACCACTCACCTGCTCTCCATGATCGACTAGATTAACACAGACATTGGGAGCTGATGTTGACCGCTCCCTCTGCCCCAACTGTGGAGCTGGAGCCCGACTACGATGACCTGTTCTGGGAGATGGCAAACCCTGGTTCCTCCGTGTGCTTCTACTACGCTGTTCTTCTTCTACTAGTATCCTGCAAGAAACATCACACATGCAAACTCAAATGCAGCCATAGAAAGGTGGGGAATTCCACACAGAGAGTGGGTTTAGCTTTTTTCCAGCAATATCATGGCAGGGATACCAACACATGGTTCACACACTGTACCCGATTCCACACAAGAAAACATGACGCATTAGAGTTTGCAATTTCAGTAGTATTTTACAGTGTGCAAAACGAATGGTGGACCTATGGCCCATGGCTATCAAAATTCTGATAGGTATACGATATGAGAACTTACCTAGACCGATTGGCTATGATGATTAAATTGAAGGATCACTTAGAACATTGTAGCGATAAGTTTGTTTAGACATTTTAACATTGTTCAGACTTCCTTCATCTTGACAATTTGACAACATCTATTCATTTATCCAGCTTAAAGTTCAACAAGAAACATCCTTAATTCATGCTGCCGATTGCACCATTTGCAGTCTAGATTGGGCATATTTCTTGATAGCCCAATGGGCTAATGGGCTTGGTGTCATACAATGATTTATTTTACACTGCCTTGGGACAAGTGGTTTCCATAACATTGCTATACCTTAGGAGACAACTAGTCCCTTCACATTTTCAGTAGTCTCAGGCCTGGTAAACACAAAGCAAGCCTAGTGCTAATACTTCAGTAAGTCATTGTTAAAGTATGGGAGTAACGATTGTCTTAGTGCTAAGATGGTTTTATGGAACAGGGTGTTGGTGGCAGTGTCTACTCCTGTTGTTGTAATAAAATATTTCATTATTTGTCTTAACATTCTAATAAGTTTAATAACATACTGTCTCATTTGTTCCCGTGATCCTTCCCGCTGAGCACGGAAGTAGTACTCAAGGTCACCCTGACATGTACGCGGCACCTTCTCCTCACATCGCTGATGAAACTTGAGGCCACATGTCTGACAACGTATGCCTTGAAACAACAGGTTGCGGCACATATCACAGAAAGTCAGCGAGAAAAACGTCTTGCGACCCTGCAAACAGAAACACACATGTAAAGAAAGGTTTGTTTGTTTGTTGTTTAATTCTGCACAAAGCAATATTCCAGCTAGATGAACGTGGTCTGTAAACAATCAAGTTTAAATCAGACAATCCAGTGATTGACATCATGAGCATCAATCCACGCAATTGGGATACTGTGTCATGTATCAACCAAGTCAGCGAGCCTGACCATCCAATCCCGTTAGCCGCCTTTTACGACAAGCATAGTCGCCTTTTACGGCAAGCATGGGTTGCTTAATACCTTTTCTACCCCGGATCTTCACGGGTTGTAAAGTAAGGTATAAAGAGAGGGAATATGGACCAGCCTTGGAGCATCTGATCAGTGAAGTTCTAATCAGTAATGTGCACGAGGACAAAAATGATCAACTGATGACTAATCACAGTTTAAGATCTTGTCACTTTTTCAACTAGAATTGAAGAAAATAAACAATGTACAAAACATATTTTTAAGAAAAATGATCTTTAGAAATCCTGATTAATCAACACATTTTGGGCCATGGACAGAAAAAATATAAAAATAAAATTTAAAAAAATAGGTAATAGTCTGGAGTGAAAGAATGTTGTCTTATGCCACAGTCAACAGTGTCAGGGACATCATGGCTCAGAGAAATACCAGTGATTGATAGCATGAGTGTCTTAACAAACTGAACAAGTGGCGACAGGGGCCCCTTCAGCATTAAAATATGGGGTCATTTTCAAAACTTAGGGGGTCACACTCTTAGAGATCATATCAAACTTAAACCCAACACACAGGTTGACAAGAATATGTAACGTTAGTGATACACAGAATATTTGCATGGAGCTCCAGACAGTGACACTTTGAAACCGATGACATGTAGTGAAGCATAACAAAATACTTTGACATGTCAGCTTTGTATAAGTCAGAGAGTAAACTTAATTCAATGTTACTAATTATAGAACAAGTACCTGGAAGAGACACGCTAGATCTGACGGCAGTGATCACAAACAAGCTGTCAAGGCTTAATAAATAAAATCAGACTTTGTTGCTGCAATTTGTAACATAACATTTGAGAAATAAGCCATGCAAAACATTCTGAATATCACTAAGATTAGTAGTTGGTGATTCTGCATCAATAACCTGCCTATAAGGGTCATTTCAAACAGAAAAATTGATTTCTTTGTCGGAAGACAGTTTTGGCTGCTTTTATGACGAAATTTTTTTTAAACAGATGATATATTTCTCAACCTTTTTGCAGTTATCTGCCACAGATTTTCCTGTTAAAGCAATGATTTATTAAAAACGGCAAAGAACCACTGAAAAACATCTACATCATGTATATGGCTACTTTATTTGCAAAAGATGTGAAAGCTAAATTCTGACTGGACTACTTGGGACTTTCCGCCAAAGAAAGGTGCTGATTGTACGGTGAGGCGCATAAGGCAAAGCTATAGATTGTGAACGCTGACAGAAGGCAGAACACTGGTTTGACAAAAAACAAAATAGCTGGGTAACAATGACACACCATCAGCATCGTAAGACATTGTAAACACCTGATTCTCTATTAATCGGTTCTTACATCAAGCCTGTAGTACACAACACCTAGTTTTTGTTTTTTGTTTAATGCGCAATATTCCAGCTATATATTATATAATATATGATGGTAGCTTGCAAAAAATTCAGTAATTGCTACCATGAGCAGCTACCCACACCCTCAGTGTACAATGACATGCAATCAACCAAGTCACTGAACCTCACCACCATTATTCAATTGGTTGGTTGTGTTTTGTTGTTTAACACCTCACTCAGCAATATTCCAGCTATATGACAGCAGTCTGTAAATAATCAAGTCTGGACCAGACAATCCAGTGATTGACATCATGAGCATCGATCAACACAATTGGGATCGATGACATGCATCAACCAAGTCAACGAGCCTGACCACCCGATCCCGTTAGTTGCCTCTTACGACAAGCATAGTCACCTTTAACGGCAAGCATGGGTTGCTGAAGCCCTATTCTACCCCGGATCTTCCCTTATTCAATTGGTCACCCCTTACGGACATACATACGGGTGACCTTTTCCAACCCGAAATCCCCAAGGGGAAGGTACATGAGTTCTGTTCTGTCCTGGAACCTTCACTTACAAAGTTGTGTGAAAGGATGACAGCCCGTGTTGTGTTTCGCTGGGCAACGGTCAAATCCTCTTCACTTTCCATCAGCTCGATCGTCACTTCCTGTCCGGCCAACTCAGCCATGTCTGTGTTCCATGTCAGTGGAATCCTGACCAATGAATGACATTCAAATGATACAACATGCTATTATTTGGCTGAAAATTGCAAATTTCATTAGCTGCATTAGCTTTCATTAGCTGCAGTTACCATGACACCCATGTTCTTCGTTAAATAACATTTTTTCTACATGTCACTAAAGGGCCTGCAGATCATCCAATAAGGAAAGTCTGCCAATGTGTGCTGTAGGATTTACACCTCACCTCCACATCTCCAATAAATATATATCAAAAATATTTGTAAAATCTGTACCAATCTCTTCCTTTATTTCATCGAAAGTTAATTTCGAATATGAATTCCAGATCAGAAACAAAAAATGGTGGTGTTTTCGAGGGGCCGTCACATTATTTTCCAAAACCTGTACCGGTTTTTGTTAACCTGAAATTTGTATTCATATGATGACTATACTTTCCAATTAATTCCTTAAACATGTGAAACATTTTAGCAACAGAAACAGATATCATAGATATACATGCATAACAAAAACAAATTGAGTAGACCAAAGTTACCTTGTTTTATGACGAAAGACTTGGCATTTGTTGGGATCGAGTCCTCTTCTGCGCATTGATTTGATCAACCCATCTCGTAATGTTACACTAGGCGTTGCATTCACCTAAAAACAAAAACATCTCTCATAGAGCAGGAGGTAATTCAAACTTCATTGCATCAACTGTCAAAATATACTACTCAAAAGAAGTTTAAGAACACCCAAATAGTATAAGCATGAAAATTTCTTATGTTATACTGCCAAATTATTTCTGCATATTTTTGTGATGACTGAAATAGTTCTTACAAAAGTAACAGCAGTGAGTGATTATAAACATTTCTTAAGCAATGTTCTAGCATTATCACAGTGGGGGCACTAGTGGGATCGACACATATTATAACATTATTGGTAATGAAACACATCTATGAGACAAGCAAACACTATAACCACTGGACTACTCAAGGTGTAGACACCATTGCTTATATCCAACTAGTCAGCAGCTAACAGAATTGTGGTCTTGTCTACTGTCTATCCCTGTACCAGTCCCAGACGAAGTCTGTGATTCCGCAATCGTGGAGAGATTTGCAGAAAAAAGCTTTCCATAGAAATTACAGACAAATCGTGGCATTTGCCTCTCTTTTTTAATCAAGCAATGCAATAATTTTCATTATGTTCAAGCTTTTCTATGGAATTTTGCACTAGAGTGATGCCCAAACATTGAACATATGATTCAAACATACAAAGTATGAATCATGCAATCAACAAAATTTGAAACAGAAAATTCTCACTTTTAAACGTTCTTGTGGTATTACAACTACATAAACTATGTTTACATCTAACCATTAATAAAATATCAGACACTATGAATATCTATGCATAATTTTATGCCTTGAAATGTCTAAATGCAAGAGATTAAATATATTAAAGAAACAAATGAGTTTGTATTAATGTTCGAGGGGCAATGGTTATGGTCTTACGGCAGAATTAAATGCAGACTTTCGGTAACTTTACCACAGACTTTGTCTGGGACTGCTGTAAGAAAGGAAGGGAAACCGTGAGTTAGAGAGTCACTTGCATTTTTATGCCACATTATGATATTATTTCATCTCTATTCCAATAGGCTGTAACTAATTGTGATCAGGCAAACCAGATGTTGTCAATGTGCAAAGACCATGTTTTCCACACCACCGAATCGGTTGCCTCTCATGACAACCATGTGACACTTGAGATCTATTCTGCTGATTAAATGGAAGAAATTAAGCTCCAACTATCTACATGGAGCAGTGTTTATGATCCTTACAATAACATTTCAAGTACATCAGAACATATAGCATTCTAATCCAAGTAGCCATTACACAGTAGTAATAACTCAAATGGCCTTCTGTCACATGAAAAGGTATCAAGCTCCTCACAGCGATATCCCATTCACGGACCTCTCTATACTATCGCTGCCCACCAAGCAAAGCTCCTCACTGTGATAGGTGGCCACAACCATGCTTGGAGCTGAACTCGCAACTGACTGACCTTTATGTTTACAAACAAGTGATGACTGTCGTGACGCTGAATACACTTACCCTTGCTAAATTACTTTCTTTGTCAATTTGAATTTCTATTTCATTTCAACTATCACGTAATTGGTAAAGTAAGATGTAAACGTGAAGTTTGTTGAATTTCATTTCGTCTGCAATCTCTAACCAATCTGATCAAAAAATAAAAAGGTAAATTCATCTGGGAAATAGGGTCAGTAGTAAACGTTTTTGAATTCACTATGATGACATTTCCAAAAACATAAACAAAAGTATAAACGTTACTACATTTGGTTTTAGAGGGCAAATTTCAAGATTCTTGTAATGGCCGTGCTCACACTTGTGGCAGCGATGTTACCGAGAGTGTAACGCAGTTGTCATGCACGGGGACATAGCTATAATTAGGCATCACACAAGGGAGAGAACTCACAGTTGACACCATGTTGTCTGGTAGATATGCCTTGATGTGTTTGGTGTGTCCTACAGGGGAGCGGAGTGGGAGCTGAGGACTCCGCTGTCCTGTGTTCATGGACCATAGGTTGGTGGAGCTGTTGTTTGGGGTGAGGGGCCCCGGGGACATGACTGGTGGCTCGGGTTCCGCTGCCGCACCAGCGGGTTCTGGAGAAGGTTGTGGGGGAGGCGTTGCACGCCCAATACTCATTTGTTCTAAGAGCTTCTGTTCTCGGGTCTGTAATTCATGGATTTTGTTTGCAAGCTCTTCATATTCCTGAAAGTAATTCAAAATGTACACATACATAATATTCAAACATTTAATCAAATAATATCATTAGCTGAGATCATGCAACCACTAACGCTGTCTCATTGAACAGCTTACCCTTGCTGTAACAGCGTTAGATATTGGCACTAGTCCTATAGTCCTTGCCATACTGCCAAATGGTAAAGGTATCATAAGGACTAGAAGAAATTTGCCATTATTAAGGGTTTTGCTATATCAGTATGTTATCATTATAAGGACTAGTGGACGCAAACTGTTAGTTTCTAGCCTTGTGTAACCACTAGGCTACCTCACTGCCCCAGATGGAAGATTTGGAAGATAAACCTAAAGATCCTGTAAAATCTAAGCGTCCCAGCTGCTGTATATTCTGAGAAGTCATGATGACAACATGCCATCTCTCTTATTCGATCATAACTGATGGGCTTAAATGAACTGAGAGATCTCCATAGTATGAAATCTGTCTTAGTATTGTTAACCAGGAAACAAAACTAAAACCAAAACTGAATACTGATGTGAACAGAATATCACACATATACAAGAACCAGTGAAGATTCATTCAAACCTGCATACATTTGTCACCTCAAAATATTTGAAACATCAAGCTAGTTTGATTTTTGACTATGCATATTGTAAAGCTGAACTATTGAATACAATCAATAATACCAATCAGCCAGCTAGTCAATCTGGGCCAACTTGCACAAAGCGATCTTAGCGCTAAGATGATCGTAATGCTCCTACTTTAACGTAGGCTTACAATAGTCTTAGCGCTAAGATCGCTTTGTGCAAGTGGGCCCTGGACTTATCTATCTAAAATGTCTAACAGTAACACATACAGTACAAAATGTAAATGAAACCAAAATTACTTACACATTGTATTGTAATGAAACCAAATATACTTAGAAATTGTATTGTAATATCAACAAATATACTTACATATTTTATTGAATTCAAACAAAAATTACTTACATATTGTATTGTAATGAAATCAAATATACTTACATATTGTATTGTAATATCAACAAATATACTTACATATTTTATTGAATTAAAACCAAAATGACTTACATATTGTATTGTAATGAAACCAGAATTACTTACATATTGTACTGTAATATGAACACATATACTTACATATTGTATTGTAATTTCAACAAATATTAGGGCTGTTACGATCACTTGCGCATTTGGTGAATTGAACCGTAACCATTCATGAATTGAATTTGTTATTCGTGGCCACTAGAATCGAATATTTATGAATATGCAATCCTGGGCATTTACATACCCGGTACCTAAAAATATTCATAAGAACACTTTATCATGTTTATATGCATAGATGTCTTCAAAAGACAACACTGTCATAATATTTCACTGGTCATTGTCGCATTTGAGCAGATACTAGTACCTGGATAAGTGCAGTATATAAACATGATAAATGTATAATATATTAATAATTAACAAAACATGTCAAATAATTTATGTTGTTATTGTTTCACTGAATATAACAAATAATACATCAACTGCTGACTTGTTATTGTATTCGTGAATTAATATTCGTATTCGTTACCCTATATTCGGGATACGAATCGTATTCGCCTCATAGTGTATTCGTTGCAGCCCTAACAAATATACTTACATATTGTATTGTAATTTCAACAAATATACATACATATTGTATTGTAATTTCAACAAATATACTTGTCAAATACATGTATATATACCACCAAAAGAAAGACTAACCATAGAAACATGGAGAAGTATTTAAGTTAAGAAGAGATGTTTCCAATGTGTACCAATTAATAACTAAACTAACAATCAGTCAAGTGTTACTGCAAAGTGTCATTATTCTTATCAAGAAATCAACCATTCAATAGTTTGAGATGGCTCAGAAACAAAGCCTAGAGTTGTTTGAGATTAAGTCCAAATTGTTTCCATGTAAACATAACAAAATAAAATTATGAAAAAATTCAAATAGCAAAAGGCAGGGACCTGGAAATAAGTCTGTGTGCCAGACTTGTCTGATTTTGATTGCAAAATGTCCAACTTGAAATAGTGCAAACCCGAAAACTTTAAAATTTGGTCAACATCAATCACCACAGGCACACTGACCTACATCCCGATAGGTTGAAAATGTATATTATTTATCAAGTGTTGTAGGCTATAAAACACATCGTAGATCTGTCACTTCAGCGATTTCAGGTGAACGAAAAGGTATAACAAACATGGTCGATAAAAATATGAAATTTGATATAAAACTTCGCTGGACATGAAGATTTACCATTTAAAATGTATTTCCTGCTCTCCAAGGAATTGTTTTATGTGTAGTGGTTAAGATTAATGTGTGTATTTTCTAGTAAACTAAGCCGGAACTAGCAATCAGCTGTGCACACGTTCTCACAACAATCTACCGTGATTCAGTCAAAAAGTACCCAATGATACAACTTCAAAGAATTTTGATGCAATGGTCGGAACAAACTGTATCTGAAATTATTATTTTATCAGGAACAATATATTCTAAAATCGTGTTATTTTAGTAGCGGCTTTTACTATATACATTTATAATGATAAGAACCATAAGCGTAATACTTTGGTACAGTTGATTGTTATTGCAGGATATTTTTACATGTGGACAATTTTGACCAATGTAATGTTGACATATAACAAATCAAAGTATGGCATTTATGATATATGTATCCATTCTCTGGCAAATAAAGTTTGTTTCAAGGCGCCAAAAGCGGTAATCTCACCGTGGGTGCTGTCAATAACGGTGAGTTGTGCGATCTACCGATCCCGATTTCACCAAAATTAATGTAAACAATATGGAATGAAATTTTTAATAAAATTGATAAAATATATTCAAACATAAAGTCCAAATATACAATGAACACGATTTTATAACCAGATAGCATAATAATGGAATTGTGTGTTTCAGTTCAGATTTGTTGACTGGTCAGTGTTACGTGCTCGCGGTGATCAGCTGATAATGTTTTTTGAGATGGGGAAAAACATGTCAGTGTAAACCTTGAGTTTATTAAAAATGTAAGTAAATTTTGGGAGCCAATTGTTCCCCCGCGCTATAACAAAGGTATTGAAGGGGGAGAATAGCGAGGGAACACTTTATATGTTATGAAAGTGACACTTGAGTTTATTCTTTTTGTTCATACATCCAGCACCTCAGCTATGAGGTGGGCATGACCAAAATGCAAATGTCCGATTGGCAAAAAAATATTTCCGGATCTCTGGCAAAAGGCACCAGTTAACCTGATGAGCAATAATTTGACAAACTTCAAAATAGCAAAAGGCGCTGATGGGCAATGCATACTGTAGGATGGGTGGTTGGGGGATCATAATTGATTCTGATGTAAACCTTTGAACAGAATTCCAGTCACAAAGCCTTGATGTACCTCTGTAATAAGTACAAGGCCGTACAGCATAGCTACCTCAACAAGGAATGAGCATGAAATCATAGCAATCACCCCGATTATCCAGCGTATTATATTTCCATTTGATCATGATAAATACATTGGACCATAATCACCAAATCTTTGCATCAGAAGTGATGTCTCCATTTGTCTTGACAAAGAATGTTCTCACTCATGAGTGTAATTTGATTGATCAACTATTTGTAGTGTTATCTCATTCAAATAAGGCTCAAATCAAAGCTATGGCAACAAATGGGTCCAGGGTATTATCACAATAGAATGGAGATAAAATACCCTGAAAAATATGCTTTAACATTAGGTGAAACAACCAGCACAGATCGTACAGGCAAACCAAGGATCATGAACTAAAGAATAAACTAAAACTAAGAGTGAAAGCCAAGGGGTCCTCATCATAATAAGTTTAAATACAAAAATGTTACGGATCAATAGATTACAATACTACAAATACAATAACAGAAAACATCAAAGGACCCCACCTCACACACCTAAGGGACTTAACTCTGTCACCCATATATCCTGAAGTTTTCTGCTAACGCATCCATATAGTGCTGGATGCTGACACCATACACATTGTATTGAAGTACCGTATTTCCTCAATTAAACCCCCGGTCGTATGTATTTTTTTCATACCCTCATAACCTACAGCATTTAATCAAGGCCCTGCATTTGTAATTACAATTTCCGACAAATGTTTTGCTCCGACACATCTTCGGGTCCATAGTTAAAAAGTTCTCTAAAATGCTTCTGCTAGCTGGGACAAAGTGCTGTACGCATTAAGTAGATTGATCGTAACAGAAAGAAAATAATGGGGAGAATTCCGTGCATAAAAACTACCAGTGCCAAATCAGAGCCAGGCATTTAATTGAGACCCGATGTTTATTGTTTTCAGATATCCCGTACCCTGGTGTTTAATGTAGGAAGTACGGTACTTGTTTATTATTCCCTGGGACAATTACACAGCCAGACTTACCTTAATATACATAGGAGGAGGATGCTGATGTCGGCCAAACTCAGCATTCATTTCCTCCAACTTTTGCCGAGTGACTTCAATAACTTTTTGTATGTTTTCAATCTGTAAGCGAAATTAAGAATAGATAAAGATGGAACAGTTGACGATGTGAGATGTATAGAAAGGACAACCAATGAAAAAAATAAATGTATCTGTAGTGGGAGTGGTCTTCAAACTACCATGATCCATGGTCACTGCAAAAAAACCCAGAAAAGAATGGACCAGACAAAACAGTGAATGATATCACGATCAACAACCAACACACCTGACCCCCTCAGTCTCACGAACCATGACAAGCATGTTGCTGGAGACTAACCCGTAATCCCAACACAACCTTGGTTGCCTGCTTGGGATGAGCACTGCCAGTAAACACGTTATAGCGATCCACTGCAACTAATCTTAGTTCAGATTAAAATACTAGCTTCTGTTTGGTTAAGGAGCGGGCAATTATTTCCATGTACCCTAGCCCATCAGTCCGGGACTAGTACAAATTTCCAAATTGTTTTAAACTGCAAGGGCTTTTTATCATGACCTGGTCCAGTGAAGCTTTTCAGTTTATTTCTAACATTGAGTAGAGGTACAAATCAATCAGAACACATCTTAGGTAAATTGCTTATCTCCCATAAGTAACGTTGATCTTCTGAAATAAACCTCACCTGCTGGCTCAGGGTACATGGGCTCACACACAGCATACATCACACCATATATCATTCGAGATCATTTGACAACATATAATGTAGCGATAAGTAGTAAGTACTGCAATCATGATCTGATAGATTTGTCAAAGGGAATTTCCCCTAATTCTGCACATTCCTACAAAACAGGTTTGGTAATTGTCTATATCTGTGTATTTAACTTGGTTTTTTTTATGATACATACTTAGCATGCTTAGTATTGATATTCTGGTTCGTTTGTGGTTATATTTCCCTCTACTTTTTGTTTTCCTGTGTTTCATACTACATATGAAAAACATATATTCATAATGTATAACACTGCCTTGGATTTATCCAAGATTCCAAACTATTGTCATTTATTGTCCCAGTTATGAGTTAAATACAAGTCACCTCTACAAAGCCATAACAAATAAGTTAAAAAAATAACAGCATGAATTTGAAAAATTTAATTCCAATTTGGGAATTTGTACTAAAACTTTCGGCTGACTTAGCACTGAATGTTGGCTTCTGAGAAGGTCCAGATAAATCCCTGCTTTACATCAATAAAAGCTGCTGACGGGGATATTTATTCTCACTTCCAAAAACACAAAATGAAGTTTTTCTATAGTATGTGAATGCAGCTGGTTTGTTACAGCCACTAGCAAAATGCTGTACAGAGAAGTTTTCTCCTAAAATTCAGTAGTGGGTGAGGATGGTTTTATGCTGCTTTTAGCAATATTCCAGCTTTGGTGTGATGAGTGAACACCTTAACCACTAGCTTACCTCCTCCCCCATGTCATATAAACAACTAGTCTGCAATGGACTAATAAAGTTTGCAAATATACTCACCACCAAAAGAAAAGTGAACCATAGAAACATAAAGAGAAGTATGTACGTAAGGATGAGATGTTTCCAATGTGTACCAATAAATGACAAAACTAACAATCAGTCAACATGGTCAAGTGTTACCAGTCATTATTCTTATCACGATATGCTGCACGTGATTTCCAAACTTTGCACGCTAATCCTACACGAGAGAAATGGTGCATCTCGAGTCATGGATTTATGACATCACATGTGATGCGTTCACGAGTGATGATTCAGGCAACAAAACAGTATGTTCATTTGTGCATTGAACTAATTCAATATATCTTGAACATGAGTAATTCTTCATATATTAACCAACATGTATGGTATTCACGTTTCTTTCGTCAGCAAGTATACTTGCAAAACCAGAAGCAGACCCTTCACCAATCTCATTAAAATCAGATCTTAGTTTTCGCTACCACTAAACAAAGATCTGAGGACATTCCATTATGGATCACGTCAGAACAACCTTTCATGAACTTTGACCGACCAGTGAAATGACTGACAAGAAATCGACATTAGCCAATCAGAAGGCAGCTTTCTTGAACTTTACAACACCAGTTTCAAACTGGCGACTACGCTTCGAAACATATTTTGACATATTCTCGATTAAAAAAAATTAAAACTGATCAAAAGAACATTCTAGAATGGCTTATATGGCCTAGTTTGTATGGATATAATCATAAAACCCGTAACTGTCGTTCAGAATACCCTCTGTTAATATTCTGAGGTTGCATGATTAGAAAACACATTCCAACTATCACTTTCATGATCTGGTAAGCGATGCTCTGATTGGTTGGATGAAAGGTCGTTCTGACGTGACCCGTAATGGAATGTCCTCATGCAGATCTTTGTTTAGCGGCAGCCAGAACTAAGATCTGATTTTATTGAGATTGACTTTCACTGCCATTTCCTCAACATGATGATCAAACTTCTACTCCTAAAAGTTTAATGATAAATGCAATAACACTTTCCCAAAACGTGTAACCACAAACTTCTGAGCGAGGTTTTTCTATCACATGACCTTAACCTTTCATCATCTCAATACACGTACCAAAACATTCCCTTGGAACATGTAGAAAAAGTTCATTGTAGTATATCTTCTAATGTCAATAATCTCTCCACCATATTCAAGAGAACAAATGATGCAACTACTATTGACAATTATCTCAAGGTGACCTTGACCTTTGCCATAAATGTAACTGTTGACATTTGAGTTGGTAGGATTTCTTGAAAAAGATGTAAACATAAAATTCCATTTCTGTAGAGATAACCACTTCTCATAAACTAATAATGATAGCCATGATAGCCATGATAGCCATGACAGCCATGTTTTACAAAAACCTTTGACTATCTCAACTTTTCAATGAGGGGGTCAATTAATGACCTTGGCCTTATGCCATATGCCAAAAGATTGTCCCTTGATTGTGACCTTGACCACAAAGGCTTCTCAAAACCATACTACTGCAAAGATCTCAGCATTATGTGTACAAACTTACATCCTACTATAGTAAACACTTGAGTTACCGTGAACATAATCTATTTTTGACATCATGACCATGAGAGCATGACCACAAATGACCCCAGCACTTCAAAACATTCCTTAGGGCTTTCCAACATAAAAACCCAAACATCCCAAGGTGGAATACAATGTAACAACAAAAACATAGCATACACTACACATTCAAAGTAATTCACTGCAACCTACAACATAAGATTGTCATCACATGTGCACATAATTTTGTATTCAAATAACATAAATACAACAGACATAACACTTTAAAAAAGCACCCTCACCATGTTCACAGTGACCTTCACCTTATACATAGGTCAATCACAACCATTTCCCAATCTCAGTTCCCCCTTAACATGCCCAAGGATAACATATTCTAAGTTTCATAGCCCTCCACAGTCCAACCTTCATGTGTTAAACAGTTTTCACCGATCAATGTGCCAAAAACTCTCTGACAGGACTGTGGTTGTAAAAAAGAAAGTGTGGCGACAGTGGCAGTCAGACAAAGCCTAAAAGCATCACCATTTACATAGGGGTGCTTGATGAAGTTAGTTACATTGCAACCAGCAATATGCAAGCTACATCGAAGCAGCCTGTAAACAATAAAAAGGACCAGGGAAACCAGTGGTTGATAGCATGATCAATGACCTATACCACAGAAGCAATATGACACAAAAATCAGACAAATGACACAATGTAACCACTTGATCCACATTATACCATTCTTAAGAACTGCATGCCATCTCTGATAGACAATATGTTCAACATCAATTAACCTCATAACTATGTGTTAACACAGCATTAGTAAGTGGGTGAGTATGGCTTTATGGTGTGTTTAGCAACAGGGCACACCAGAAATGGGCTTCACACATTGTACCCATGTAAGGAATTGAACTCGGCATGATAAGCGAGCACTTTAACCACCAGGCTACAACACCGCCTCTCACAGCATAAGTGAAAGGGTTGGGTTAAAGGCTGATTTGAAAAGCATTTGTCATATATGGAGGAGTGGGTGAGTACAGTTTTACACCGCTTTCAGCAATATTCCAGCAATATCACAGCGGGGGACACCAGAAATGGGCTTCACACAAGGTACCCATGTGGGGAATCGAACCTGGGTCTTTGGCGTGACAAGTGATCGCTTTAACCACTGCCCCCATATATGGAGGAAAATCCAAAGTAACACAGACCACAGACATTACCCATTTTGTTAGCATGATTTGTTGCATAAGCATGAGGGAGTAAGTACAGTTTTAACCTGCTTTTAGCAATATTCCAGCAATATCACGATAGGGGACACCAGAAATGGGCATCACATTGTACCCATATGGGGAATCAGACCCGGGGTCTTCGGCTTGATGAGCAAATGCTTTAACCAATAGGCTTCCCCACTGCCCCCATAGAGCATAAGTAAAAAGATTTGGTTTTAGACTGATTTGAAAAGCACTGCTGTCATACATGAAGGAAGATCATAAGCAATCTGCCATTTTGTTTTAATGCATGACCGCAGTTATTGTGGTTACAGACCAAGAACTATAATCAGGGTAAATTAAAAGCATGATCATAGACTGAGCGATGCAAATCTACATAGCAAACTGCAATCTGCGCTCCGCCTCCCCCTACACATACACACACACATCCCATCTACTGTAACAGTAACACCACACTCACAATTTGAAATCAGAATTTATCTTGATCCATGACATGAAGTAATTTTTTCGTGTTTCACCAAGAACATAACCTCACAACACCAAATGTACTGCATGATAACAAAATTACAGTATTATCCTTGCCAGAGGCATAGGCACTTGACATCGATATTTAATCTCCAGAAAAGTCATTTATTAGTAAAACCCTTATTTATAAATAAAACCAAATTTTCAAATGCAAGTATTTGTACAAAGCTATCAACTATCTGTGTAAAACCTCTGCTCATTTAGATCCTGGGTTGGGACACAAATCCAGATGACATAATTCTCCAAAATGCAGTCTCACGTATGTCTATAGTCTGTCCAGTTGATTCTAAAAAGAAACAGTCTGAACTGTCTAGCTTAAGAAAGTTCATAACTACAAAGGTGTAATAAAACACTACTACACATACAAATGATATATCTCACATAATTTCATTGCCACAAAATGTATATAGCGACAAGAGGAAGCTATAGTTTCACTGTTAACATGGTTAAAGGAGGCTCAGGGGGAAAAGTTCAATCATTCCCAAGCAGGAAATTTCTACTGATTGGCTCTTTTCATAAGGTGATAAGATCATCCAATACTAACAACCTAAACAACAAACCTTGCACAAAAAAATTTAAGTGTGTTAACATTTGCATAAAAACAGTATTATTGCTACTCACAAGAAAACATTAGGACATGTTCATAATATTATTAATTGTTTTATGAAACCTTTTCCTATCTCAACAAATTTGAATAAAATCTTTTGGACATTTTGGATGACAAGGTCTTTTCTAGAAAATAAACCCTGTTTACAGCTACCACTGGCATAGCTATGGACAATGTTATCAATTCCTTCATGAATAAACTCATAGCAAAAAATATATTACTGGTTTAATTTGAGATAACATACACTTAGTAATATTTATCAACAGATAGGGCAATAAAGTGCCAGTTCCCTTTAGTTTCAAAATCAAACAACATAAGTCTAAGGTATTATTAGAAAAGGCAATGTAATTCTTTTTTGTTGAAAAAGTCCTAATTGTCAGCCAAACACAACTATAATAATCATCCTTCGATAAAACATCCTTCAAGTCCTTGGTAAAATCAAACTAGTTTGATAGGCAACATGATCACATTATCAAATACATTGTACATATGGTTTACAGGGCTTCATATTGGTTACAATTGCAGGTCAATGACCGATTGTTATCCAAAATGTCTGAAAGATTCTTATGAAAACTGAAAACTATAATTATGCCATAATTATATAATGCAGAAGAATGTCCTATCGGACATTTAAAAAATCTTGAAAAGTTTCCTCTGCCATTTCTAATTGACTCTAGCAAATCACTGTTACTACATACATGATAGATCCATATGTTATTATTGAAATAAAATTATTTCAATATATTTGTAATTACGTACATGTATCATGCATATTACCATGATGATAAAAATATGATAAATGTATGTATGACCTGTAACAATGGACAAAATAAGACAACAATAACAATGTGACTGTTCAAATGAAAGGAGACGATGTAATACATAAACACAGCGTATAGGGCACATTCAGGCTAGCGTCTTACAAAAACATGTTTCCTAATGCACTTGTGAGACATGAAAATGCTTTTCATACTGGTGTTTTACACGGACACAAAAACAATCCCTACCCTGTCTTTTGACTACAACATGGTGCATGTTCGTGAGAAAATAAAACTGTTTTCGAAATATGGAAATGTTCGAACATGGTAAAAATTACCACACTACACAATATGACACACTATATGAAGTAAGTCAATCTCACTCACTAATATTCACTGAGCACCTGTCATCACAATCCTCCCGTATCTAGTAATGGAATGTATTTTTCTAAACCTTCTACATGGATCTAGATCACAAACGCTTATCGACTGTCATGATGCTATGTCAGTACAAATTAATAGAGCTAACTAATATTCAACATCCTAAAATAGGCTTACTGAGATATTTTTAGACACTTTGATTGTTGATGACTATCACTGCAACTTTAGACAAGCTACCGTCGAGTGACATCTGCACAAAAGCTATAGTGTCTATCTGCTAGTTAATTTAATCTAGATATTACCATAATTTGAAAACCAAACATGGAACCAAATACGTCAAGTCAATTGATAACAGGTTCCCTTAAAAGGAATGACAATGACACACACAATTACTACCTAAACAATAACATTTTCTATTTTATTTTCAGAAATTTGCATTTATGCCACTGGAACAGTGGAATAAAATGCACGCAAATGAAGAAATCAGGTCATCATTTTAACTCCAACATAATTTTTCGAGTAAATAAGAGATTATACCTCATCTTGAAGGTTTCCAGTAGTGTAAGCATCTTCCTCCCGTGGCCCTATGGTGAAACTTGTATTAATATCTCCGTTCATCGTCGGTTGTTGCACGACCGCCATCTTACATGCTTTGACGATATGCTCACGTGACCTCCTAAATTATCACTCAGTCTCGCGTTACTTCGACGCAGCTGTGAGATCAGCGCTTGCGTAGATGTTTATTTATCAGAAAATATTTGATTCCGTTTCATGCATTGTCAGTCATATTTAGCCTAATTTGGTCGTAAATAAAACAGAATACACAGCTTTAGCGATCTATCAAATGAAGACTAAATAAAACCACGTTTTTCACATAATTATGGGAGTATGACTGATGTCATAATATATTTAATGTGCCATATCACATATGTATAAAGGTATACTAGATCTATATATAACATTATAAGATACAATATGGTATCAGAACAACTGCAATAAAGCATTGTACGTTATTTGATACTTTTCGTGAACGTTCTTGGTATAATTATTTATTGAGGATAAATAAATCAATTCAAAACATTACGGTTCGTGGAAAGATAGCATATCAAATGTGTCAAGGGTTCCGTGTTAACGGTTCTGGTGTGTTATGCGTAATGAGTCCGAATGGCAAGAATAACATTTATACCTGGCATACTTATATTATAAGAGGATGATTCCACATGTCTTCGTTTCTTAATCTTTGACCTGTGTGATGTTGGCCTATTCTGATCCGTCACATACATTTTGCAGAACTTTTTTACAACCGTCACACTTTTAATTTATAGCTAAAGAAACCCATATACTTATTAATGAACTGTGAACATATTTGCCTAATCTGTAATAATTAATACTATTACGATGACAACTTATTACATATTACTATTGTATGTATATTCTTCTTATGTATGACCGTATTCATCACATCAACTCTGTTTAAAATGTCCAGGTTTACACAAAAGACCCATGAAGATTCCGAGTACGAATATGCACCCTCAACAGCCAGTAAGGAGGTACTAAATTGACTGGACCCGTGAAGATTCCGGGGTAGAATAGGTCTTCAGCAACCCTTGCTTGCCGTAAAAGGTGACTATGCTTGTCGTAACGGGATCGGGTGGTCAGGCTCGCTGACTTGGTTGATGCATGTCATCGATCCCAATTGCGTGGATCGATGCTCATGATATTGATCACTGGATCACTAAATGTTCTATAAAATGCAATAACTCATAAGCTCCATGCCAACCCTCTATTTCTGTATCAACCTGAATACTGCTTTATTGTTTGTTTTGCTTGTTTGTTGTTAAACGCCGCACTCACCAATATTCCAGCTTTTTGGCGGCGGTCTGTAAATAATCGAGTCTGGACCAGACAATCCAGTGATTAACATCATGAACATCGATCCACGCAATTGGGATAGGATGACATACATCAACCAAGTCAGAATACTGCTCTAAGCACCACTACATAATACCGAGTAAACAATCAATTGATCTGATTGCTATTTAGTATTAATTGCAATTATCGTTAATTAGATCAACAACTAAAGATTAGCAGTCACGTGGAACAACGCCTCGACGATACGCCCGACTTCGCAGACATTTGGGGGGCATCTCAAAACACCGCGGGTTACATTATTGAGCGAATTGGTAATACGCAATAAATCATCGTCGGTGCACACGCGACTTTGATGGTCTGAGACCATCCCATGCAAATTACAAAAATTGAATTTCAAATAGCAAACCATTCCAACTATAGATCCATTAAGCTCTTACGTAACGGGGGCGTTGGGGTAGCCTAGTGGTTAAAGCGTTCACTCGTCACGCTGAGGCCCGGGTTCGATTCCCGACATGTGTACAATGTGTGAAGCCCATTTCTGGTGTCCCCCGCCGTGATATTGCTGGAATATTGCTAAAAGCGGCGTAAAACAATACTCCCTCACATCAGTAACGATGTGAGATAAGGTTGTGGGGCGGTGCTGTGGTCAAAGCATTCGCCTGTCACATTGAAGAGCAGGTTCGACTCCCCATGGGTGTAAATTGGGAAGCACATTCCGTCTGACCCCACCGTCATATAGCTGGAATATGACTCAAACAGATTAAAACCAATTTTACGCCAGAGAGGCGACATAATTAACACTTAAAATTCACTGTTTGATTTGGGGCGTGGGGTAACCAAGTGGTTAAAGCGCTCGCTCGTCACCCCGAAGCCCCGGGTTCGATTTCCGACATGGGTACAATGTGTAAAGCCCATCTTTGGTGTCCCCCGCCGTGATATCGCTGGAATATTGCTAAAAACGGCGTAAAACCATACTCACTCACTCACCATTTGATTTATAACCAAGTAATCAATAATTACCACATATATATGATAAAGTCCAGCATATGTGGAATTTTTAAGGTGATGATTGAAAAGAAGGCCACTGCTCTCTGAAAATGATGAATATATACCCTTGTTAAACCAAACGTTTTTACTAACATAATATATGTATATATATATGTCTTTTTTTACCTTATCCAGATCATGACGTTATAATTTGCTTTTATGTCTAAGTGTCTCGTAGGTCATACCTGGTCGGATGTTATATTGTATTGTTTGTGTACGTGTTTTTGTATGAAGTGTATACAACATGTGACACTATAATAAACATTATTCTCTCTCTCTATAATGCCACTACTCTCAGAGAATGACGAATATACTATAGTTATAAACACAGCTGCTGTCTACCAAAATAATGCCATTACTCACTGACGATGACGACTATACCCTAGTTAGACACATGATTCATCGTAATTATTTGTTACTGTGTTTTAAGTGACGACTGGGGGTCACAGATGTAAAGTTGTTACAGAACGAATGGAACTCGTCACGCAACACATGTTTGTGTTGACATACCACATCTGTCTGTACACAGATAACCAAGACGGAAGTACACTCGGATAAACTAGTGTTAACTGCTGCTCCACTGTACGACTGTTTACATTACAGCTACTATTAATAATACAACAATGGCCCCTGCCTGTTAGCGACCAGCCTACCGGTACTGGCAAACCGACATAGGAAAAACTGCGCAGAACTCACTTTGCTGTCGTTATCCGTACAGTCCATTCTGAAGACATGGGTAGATCAAGTTATTGGCGCAAGGTATTCTATGCACCGAAGTACTATCAATACAACCCTGGGCACACCATGCTCTAGATAGACTAGTCTACTCATGACCAGCTATTGAGGTCAAGTGGCGGGTCGAGGTTATCCGTCGCGTAGTATAATGCTGTACCGTCTACAATACTATACACCGTTATAGGTTTTACTACGCTACTACGCTACTTGATAGTAGTGTCCCATTGTTACATACGCGCTTATATAGTGTTATGCTAAGAATAAGCGACGAGTAAATAGGTCAAGGCTCGATTATTTTATATACTACCCACATTCCTTTTTCTAAGAAAATGTACAATTTTATATTTTCCAAATGTAAGTGGATTCAATCTGTTGTTGGGACGGCGTCACAAAAAGTCGTCTGTGACGTCATGAACAATAGATGACACGACCTCACATTGCCAAGGGCCGATTCGCAACCAATGAAAACAAATGAACTATTCACGTGGACTAGCCAAATATAAGGAAACGTGAAAAAAACATTTCAGTTATGTTCTTGTAGGTATGGGTAATATTTAATTTTGGGAAGCGTGTGCTATATGAGGTAATTGTGCTAGGTATATGTGGTGTTGCATTCTATACCCACTGATAAACACGTAGTGTGCTATGTTAATACTCATGTGCTATATGTGTGTTGTTGTATTCAATCTTAATACCCATGTGTAATGATGTATTCGATATATTCAATATTAATACCGCTGTACTTTATGTGTAATGATATATTCAATATCAATATCCTTTTGATATACACGAGTGATGCTATACTCAATAAACGTATCGTCCTAAATTTGATATTTACCACATGTTTCAAACGCGTACTATACTTAAGGACACGTTCACACGAAAAGGAACCTTTTTTATTATACTTTTCCAGCATAAAATATTTCAACCTCGTAGTTTCATAGCCCAAGAAATACAAAAAATGAAACTTAAACTGATTTGTCGATCGATTAATATTTATCATGTTTACAGTGAATTCAATTTTTATAAGGTCCCTGAGAATATGACGTCATTGATGCCATTTGATAAAATACTGACGTCATTAGGCGTTATTGGAATTTATAGGGGCTTATATAAATATATATTATCCTACCGTTACTACCATATTCCTACCTAGACTAACATTTAGTCTCCGAAATCTTATATTACACAATATCCTTCTTGACTCTAAAAATAATTAAAAAAATCCCTATGTGGAATAGAGCTATCTTGAGCTGGATAGACTTGCTTTTGTATGCATTTCTAAATATATTTTTTTTCAGAAATAAATATATTCCACGGTCATGGTGCAGGACTAATTCCTACACTAAACGACCGGTTTAAAGAAAGTATAATCCCATGTTTGGTGGTGGATACAAATAAACAAACAAAACATGGTTATTCAGCGGTGATGTATTCGATACGGGTTTCATAGTTGTGTTTTGCACCTTAAGTTTGCAGTGTTTCGACGACTGTTTTTAGCCCAGTAACGTTTTGATAACATTTGTAATTTTTTGGTCAAATCCAATTTTCAAGTGTATACCAACTTTACCCCGGCTGTGTACTTCTCACTGCACCGTAATACTACCGCTAGCATAACACTACGGTTCTCGTATGACGGAATGTCCACCATGTTACAACACTCGGAGACTTCTATTTTCAGACACCCCACAGTTAATGACCTGGCTGTAGTAGTGTTACGATTAGCGTCGATGGCGAAGGTCAATGTCCTTCCCAATTGTTTCAGTCTTGAAAGCGCCCCGTGAAGATTCCGGGGTAGAATAGGTCTTCACCAACCCATGCTTGCCGTAAAAGGCGACTATGCTTGTCGTAAAAGGCGACTAACGGGATCGGGTGGTCAGGCTCGCTGACTTGGTTGATGCATGTCATCGATCCCAATTGCGTGGATCGATGCTCATGATATCAATCACTGGATTGTCTGGTCCAGGCTAGATTATTTACAGACCGCCGTCATATAGCTGGAGTATT